AATATATACAATTATATACAAATATGTTCAGATACGGGCAAAAGCCTCTCGCCTCCCCCCCACCCAACAACTCCCACAGCACTTCCCTGAACTGGGAAGAGTCCCAAGGAATCCCGAAGCTGCTGCTGGAGAAAGAGCAGAGAGTTATGGGGGTCACGAGAGATCAAGCCTGAGGATCGACGGTGATGGATGAACAGAGTCCTCCCCGGACACCGGCCATGGACGGAAGAGAAGGGGAGAAGAAGGAGGAAGGAAGTTGTCTTCTGTGTTCTCTGACCTTCCTTTGAGCTTACGTAGATATATGGAATGGAATATCTTTGGCCAATTTTGCTGTCTGTCTAACTGAGCCTCCTACGGGGGGGTCACAGATCTCCCCATAGTGTCTGAGCCGGCAGAGTGAAGGTGCGACCTTGAAGCCTCAGTAGTTAGAAAAACATTCCACTGTCTTATCAGCCTAGCAGAACACACTGTTGCTAGTTACAAGAGAGCTTACTGAAGGAAAAAAAAATCAGTAAAAAGAAAAATTGGCTTCATCCTGGCTCAAACTAGGACAGGAATATATGTAATATATATGAAACCCACAATCCTCAGTAATTACTCTCTGACCAGAAAAGTCCCAAACTGGATTCTGCAGCAGATGGGGGTGCCCAAGTCCAGGGTACCAACAACAGTTGACAAAAGCCTTGGAGCAGCCAAGCTGGTCCTGCTCAGGGAAGGAGAAGGCAACCTGATTGGATAACAAATAGATGAACTCCAACACAGCAACTAGAGAGGCCAGAAGAGGGTTGTCTTAGGAGCTATTTTATACTGAGCACCATGGGAACAAATATTGTGATTGGTTGATTTTGGGTCACCTGACCCATCCTATCCTCTCTGTAAGCACAGCTGCTCCCCCTACTGCAGCAGCTGGTGGGGTCCCAGATCATCTCAAGTTAGTATAGCTACAGGAAATTTTTATCCTCTTTCTCTCAAACCAGGACAATGTGCAAGACTAGTGACAAAAGCCAGGAAATAACACCCTTAGTCACCATTTTCTCTTCCCTGAGTAATTTTTATTGCATTGTATTTATAACACCGGTGTTGCAATTCGGGAGATACTTCCATAGCAAATCTTTGAATTAAGATTGTGTTGACAGAGGATACTTATTTCTTATTTATACCTGTTTTAACCCAAAAAGGCTAATGTCAGTCAAAACCATTTATAATGATTCAAACTACACTGTCTTGAAGTTTTACAGCTCTTTTAGTAGTTTTTTTTACCTATTTAATTTTAAAAAAAGGATTGAACAAACAAATGCTACTTCCTATATACATTCAAGGCTCAGAACAGCTGAATATACCAATATACAGGTTCTCAGAACTCTCTTTGAGAAGTCTCACGTTCACGTGTAATTAGAATCATAGACTGGTTTGGGTTGGAAGGGACCTTAGAGATCATCTATTTACAAACTCCCTGCCATGGGGAGGGACACCTCCCATTGAACCTGGCCTTGAACACTTCCAGGGAGGGGACATCCACAACCTCCCTCAGCAAGCTGTTCAAATGAAGCAAATATTCTTCTCTCCCTCTGCTTTTAAAGATGGGGAAGGAAAGATGTTTCATAGGAACAATTTGTTCAAGACTCAGCTATAGTTCATGATAAAGATGGACCTAAGGAAAACATCTCTAGTTCCATTCAACATACTTCCCAGTAGGCAATATTGTCTCTATATAGAAGCCTGTGGAGACTGGACTGGTAATCTATGATTAAAACTTTTAAGTTCTGGTTTGCAATGAAGCAACTATTAGATTCTCATGCATGTTAGATAGGAACAGCTTGGAAAATTAATGAAATTAGTGTGCAGTTGTATACTATGTAAGAATATCAGGGCTAAGCTGAATCAGTTTGTTTTTACCCAATAATGGTTAAAAAGGGAACTGCTGGGCAAACTTAAGTGGAAAAGGAAAATCTACAGATCATGGAAGGAGGGGCTGGTCACTTGGGATGAATATAGGCCTGTTGTCAGAGGATGTAGGGAGGCAATTAGGAAAGCTAAGACCTCCTTGGAACTTAACCTTGCAAGTCAGGTTAAGGATAATAGGAAGGGCTTTTTCAAATACATAGCTAACAAAACTAACACTAGAGGCAATATTGGCCCACTGTTGAATGAGGTGGGAGCCCTGGTGACAGAGGAAATAAAGAAGGCAGAGGTGCTGAATGCCTTCTTTGCCTCTGTACAGGAAAAAATAGAGATAGGTAAAGTGTTCTGGAGTAGAAGAACCAGAACAAGTTTCAATGTGGACTAAACTTGGAAGAATCTTTGAGTCAAAGAGAAGGCTAGACTGAGAAAACTGAGAACTGAAAGGATTGGAAAAGATAATATTATAACTCATGATTTCTTATCCATAGGTAAATCTGTAATGTTTAGAATAACCTCTTTTTGAAGACATACATAATAAAAACAAATGTGGTGGTAGAGAAACAGTTTTGAATTCCTGCAGATTTGCTGAGCTGTGAATTCAGAAAAGGTAAACCTCTGAAAGAGGGAATTTAAAAGCATTTTAAAATGCAACATTTAGATAAAACAAATAAACAAATAAATAAGTGGTTATAATAGAAAAATAAAAATAAAACAAAATATGGGATAATCTGAAATATTCTCTTCCATTTTTTTAAATTTGAACAACAGAAGCTGTTACCTGTCCTACCTTACTCCTAAACACTGAAACCCAGAAAGAAAAAACAAGGGACAAAAAAACCAAACCATTTTACACTCCTACAAAATTACACATATTTATATTTCAAAGAATCATTGCATTCTAATTATTCACAGTACTGCTATGACTTTTCACTCTACTTTGAATTTCTTCCCCTTAATAGCAAGTCTCCTTGCTTTCTCTTTTAATGTAGCAATACTACAGAATCTAAAAGAAGAAAGGTAAAGAAAGAGAGAAAGAAGGATAGACTGAGAGTGAAAAGCCTGACAACTGTGTAACAAACAAGAACATAGTAGAAAAAAAATGTATTGTACTGAAGCTGAAAATTCTTTTTGAAAAATGTCAGAAGACCAGGTAGATTATTAAGCAATACAGTAAGATAATTATTTGTTTGCCTTGTTTGTACAATATTAACTACCTAATTTGTAAGGCATGGTGATAGAATTTAAATGCTAATAAAATCTTAACTGAGCTGATGTAATCACAACAAAACAGATTTTATATGAGTACATATCCTGTGTGGAAGGAACAAAATACCCAGCAGGACCAGAACCCTGGACTTCCACAGGGCAAACTTTGGTCTCCTCAATCATCTATTAAGGGAAATCCCATGGGACAGGGTGCTAGAAAATAAAGGAGCTCAAGATAGCTGGTCAACATTCAAGGACCACTTCTTGCAAGCACAGGATCAGAGTGTCCCAATGGTTAGGAAATCTAGTAAGGGTGCTAGGAGACCTGCATGGTTAAAGAAGGAACTACTGGGCAAACTTAAGTGGAAAAGGAAAATCTATAGATCATGGAAGGAGGGGCTGGTCACTTGGGAGGAATATAGGACTGTTGTCAGAGGATGTAGGGAGGCAATTAGGAAAGCTAAGGCCTCCTTGGAACTTAACCTTGCAAGTCAGGTTAAGGATAATAGAAAGGGCTTTTTCAAGTACATAGCTAGCAAAACTAGCAATAGAGGCAATATTGGCCCATTGAGGAATGAGGTGGGAGCCCTGGTGACAGAGGATATAAAGAAGGCAGAGGTGCTGAATGCCTTCTTTGCCTCTGTCTTCACTCCTGCAGGGTCTCCCTATGAGCCCCAGATTCATATAGCCCCAGAAGAAGTCAAGATAGAGGAAGAGTTTGACATGGTAGATGAGGATTGGGTTAGGGATCAGTTGAGTAATCTGGACATCCATAAATCAATGGGTCCAGATGGAATGCACCCAAGGGTGCTGAGGGAGCTGGCGGAGGTCATTGCTAGGCCACTCTCCATCATCTTCAGTAAATCATGGGCAACAGGTGAGGTGCCTGAGGACTGGAGGATAGCAAATGTCACTCCAGTCTACAAGAAGGGCAAGAAGGAGGACCCGGGTAACTATAGACCGGTCAGCCTCACCTCCATCCCTGGAAAGGT